TAACCTTCAACAACCACCAGTCAGCAGCTATCAACATAGAGACAAGACTTTCCTCCAGCAAAAATATTATGACTTGCTGAAAACTTAGGTGAAGGTTAGCATTTTTTTAGAAATAAAATATTTTTAGTTATGGTATGGACATTTTTTTAGACATAATACTCTTGCACCCTTAATAGACTACAGTGTGATATAAACATAACTTTTATGTGTACTAGGAAACCTAAAAATGTGTGTGACTCACCTTATTATGATATTTGCTTTATTATGGTGGTCTGGAAGTGAAACCATAGTATCTCCATAGTATACCTGTATATTTAGTAAGGCCTTACCAAGACAGCTAGGTGGCACAATGGATAGAGAACTGACCTTGGACTTAGAAAAGACTTGAGTTCAAATCCAACTTCAGATATTTAATAGCTGTGGGACCCTGGGCAAGTCACTTAACCGCTATCAGCTTCGGTTTCCTCATCTGTAAAATGAGGATAATAATAGCACCTACCTCCCAGGATTGTTATAGGAGTAAGTATTTGTAAAGTGCTTTGCAAATCTTAAAGTGTTATATAAATGCTAGTTGTAATTTAAAAATATGTTTGCATGGAGTCTTGAAAATCTAATCAAAAGGGCTTTGAAGAAAAGATGAACAAGGAGGGGCAAACTGCCTATGTAGATCCATTGAGTTAGATACTGTAGAGAGTAGCTACAATTTAGGAAGAACAGTAATAGAGACACTCAGAAGTACGTAGGAGACGAGATAAACACAAGTGAAAACAAGCGGTATTGTTGTCAGAGTAATTTATAGATTACCTGCCTGGAAAGAGGAGACAGATGAGTCTGGGAAACCGATCACAAGTCTGGCAGAAAAGAAGGATATACTGGTGATGGTGGACTTCAGTTATTTAGACATCTGCTACAGTTTTCTCCTGCCAAAAGAAGAGTAAAAGCTAATTTTTTTTTTTTTTTTACTTAATGGTAATTTCATCCTTCCAAAGACGGAGGAACCAACAAGGGGAAATTCTGTTCTGGATCTGATTCACACCAACAAAGAAAAACTGGTTGCTAGGTGGGGTGGAAAAGTGGGAACCTTGGGAGGACCACTACCTTAGAATTTGCAATAGAGAAGGAGAGAAAAGTTGGGCATAATTTAATGTGTATTCTGGATTTGGGGAGAATACATTTCAGTGAGTTAAGAGAAAGAATAGGTGGGGTCCTATGGATTAAAATTCTAAAAGGGAAGTCAGCCCAGGAGGAATAGGAAGCACTTAAGTGTAATATTCTGAAGACACTAAGAAAAACAGTTCAAATGAGGAGAAATGGGAGTTGTCTAAAGAGGTCAGTATGGATGCACATGGAACTCACCAGCCAACTTGGATTTTTTTAAAAGATGTATGCAAAAGATGAAGGCAAGGATGAGTAATAGAAGATGGATATAAAGCGTGGCATATTCCTGTAAGAACAGGGTTAGGAGTATTAGATCAAAACAGCAGAATTTATGCTGGGGCAAAGACGAAGCTCAAAGAAGAAACAGAGCTGCTGTTTACAAGGAGGGAGGACAGTGACATCTGATGAGAGAAAGAAAGTGGATCTTCTCAATTCTTATTTTGCTTATTTTTTCTACCAGAAAGAATCATCTCTGTACTAAAAAGGACAGAATAGAAATTTCGGATTAGGGGGTTGATACCCAGCAGAAATAAGAAACTAGAGAACATATAGCTGCTTTTGATGAGTTCAGGTCACCTGGCTCAGATGAATTACGTCCTAAGGTATTGAAAGAACTGGCAGATGTGGTTGCTAAGCCCTTGTCAGTGATCTTTGAAAAATTATCCAGAAATGAAGAGATACTGCAGGATTGGAGAAGGCAAATGTCCAGATTTTTTTTTTTAAGGGAAGAAAATGGAGTTTCCAAATTATAAGCCAGTGAGCTTGACTCCAATTCTGGGCAAAATTCTAGAACAAATTATCATAAACATGGTTAGTGAACATCTAATGAAGAAACCAATACTTACGAGAGCCAGCATAACTTCATCAAGAATAGGTTATCTATCTTAGGCTAACCTTATTTCCCTTTTGGAAAGAATTTTTAAACTAGTAGATAAAGAGAATTCTGGAAATATAATTTATCTAGATTTTAGCAAAGCACTTGATAAACTATCACGCTATTCTTATGGAAAAGCGCATATGGGAATTTACCCACTGAGGTATGCTGAATCAAGCTTATTTTCCCATTCTAAAATTTCAGGCTTACTCTTAATTAGGAATTTTTCTAAATTGCTTTGTAAGTTGTGGTACACCTTTCCTATTACTGTTTTAATAGCCTCCTACCCTCCAGGGTTGTTATAAGGAGAAAACATTTGTAAAGTGCTTTACAAATTTTAAAGTGTTATATAAATGCTAGCTCTTATTTTAAAAATATGTTTGCATGGACTCTTGAAAATCTAATCAAAAGAGCTTTGAAGTAAAGATGAACAAAGAGGGGGAAACTGCCTATGTAGAGTAGCTACATAGTATCTCCAAAGTATGTCTGTATATTTAGTTTTTTGGGTTTTTTTTTAGGAATTGTTTGCACCTCAGAAGGATGATTAAATTGACAGACTGATAAACTGACGACGATAAGCACAATTTTTTTCACATACTTTTGATATGCAAAGACCTAACTTTGCTAAAATAAACTTTAAAATAAAATAAACACTAAAATAAACAATCTCTCTACAAATATTTGAGGACCTGAGTCGTTTGCCATTTCCTTCTCCAGCTCATTTGACAGTTGAGGAAACTGAGGCAAATAGGTTAAGTGACTTGCCCAGGGTCACACAGCTACTAAGTGTCTGGGGCCAGATTTAAAATCATGAAGATGAATCTTCCTGACTCCATTCCCAGTGCTCTATCTACTGTGCCACCTACTACCCCTTAGGAAGAATAGAAGTTTCCTCGAAATGTACTAATTTAATGTTTGTTAATAATCCTTAATTGGTTGATGTCTCTCATCAGTGTTGGCAGTTCTCTCATCAGTAGAGTTTGTTATCCATCCATGCCTTCTCATCTGTAATTCTTGTCTGTGCCTTTCCATAAGTCTTCTATAGATTACCTAACCAGTGCATTTGAAGCCCTCATCTAGGTGTTTTAGTATTTTCGTGGATACTAGTGCAACGCTAAAGCAGTCCTGTTATTCATCTCTCTTACTACATTACAAGTTCACCTCCTTTTCTCATTATACATGTCCTTGATGATGTTTGGCATATATGATCAAGATGGATGTGAATTTTTTCCTGTGTAAAGTCACCATTCTCAGCCTCCCTCTCCTTAACACTCCCCAGTCCAGGTACTGCCTTGGTTTTGAAGAGCAATTTAGAAGGCTTAGGCAGGTCATTTGGAAAGCCACGAACAATCCTGCTTACTTTTTTTTTTTTAAGGTCTTAGGGTTTAGGTGATAACTCTTGATTCTACAGCAGTTCTTCCCTCACCCAAGTTTATCTTCTCAACTGTATTGCTACTCAACTCACATAATTTTCTCCCCTCCTCCCTAAGGGAAGGGAGAGAATATATCACTAAATACATGAAACATATTTGTAACATCTTTAGAAAGCACATATCTGACATTTTTCCTGATTATTTTCATTCATTACATCTATTTAACTACAATACATAACTCACAGTTGCTTTCCATAGTTGGGTCCTAAAGTATATATTTCGTCGTAACTTTCTATTATTTGTGATTTGTGGAATATCTTTTAACAGTACTTGTTTGGGAATCTGGTTATTTGGCTATTCTCTCATGTGAAAAGTATGAAAGGCGAAAGAACTTATATAATTTTATTTTAGGTATTCTAATTCTGTTTTAATTTTTACATTTTGATTTGAAAGTACTGTGTAATTTATAAAAGAGAGTCCCATAATTGTGTAACATAAATAATTTAGGGTGGGAGGAGTAAGCTCACTTAATATTGTCTATCTAAGTACTTCGTTCTTGGGTAATTGTTCAGTGTTTCAACAGAATCGCCGTCTCTTACCTGGTCATTGTTAGATAGATGCTGACTCGCATCAATTTGTCAAGCTCAGGAAGCATTAGCTGTCATCTAGTTGGTGACATGTTTGATATGAGGAATGTATTTTTGTTGCACAAGTGGAGTGTATTGTCTCCTTTTCCAAGCCAAGACTAATATTTTGTTTCCAAAGGAAAACTCAAACATTTTCCACATTATTCTTACTGGACAGTCGCAGGTTTTGTTCCAAAAGAAACATACATAGATTCTCTAGGTTTCTTATCAAACCTGAAATAAGCCAGATAGTTCCAGGGATGTAGTTTTGAGTTATTGTTTAGAAACTTTTGATGTGAAATCTTTATTTTAATCCAGTAAATGGAAGTAGCAAAGTGGCAATGTTCTTCCTTTGGTTGAAGGGAGCTCCTAAATTAGGGTTTTGTTAAAAATTAAAGGAAACTACTGACATTTTCTAGAAGTGTTCAGTGTATGAAGTTGATTCTCTTGTCTTTTCCATCAAAAGGAAATTAAAATATACCTCTTGGATTAAAACATAACACAAATGAAGACTTTTTTTTTTTTTTTTAACAATACAGGTTTCATATGTTTTTAGCAGCTTCTTGTTACCTTTCAGAATGTTAAGAACTGGTGGTATATTTCAGGTTGATTATAATGTGACAGGTGGCTTGAACTCAGTGGATTGTCTTAATACAAACTGAACACAACTTTCCAGGTATATGTGTGTGTTCATATTTTATAGAGGCTTGGTAAACTTAGTATTTCACAATGGTGCTTATTCACACATGTGACGAAGAAGATATACTTTGTAATTGTTATGCTTCAGGCTTTCACATTAAATGGAAGTTTACATCAACTAATTGGATTAATATGAGATATTAACCCAGTTCCATTCGTGTGAGTTTCAGGAATATATAATTTGACAGTATTTACCTCCGTAGCATTTTGTACATTTTACATAAGAAAATTTATATTTATAATTTTCTTTTTTGAAAATTTTTCCTATAGTTATGCAGAAGGCATGGCGAGAGAGAAATCCTCCAGCTCGCATCAAAGCAGCTTATCAAGCTTTAGAACTGAACAATGAGTAAGTTTGAAATATGTGAAAATAAGGAATAACCAAGACACCTGATTTGTCAAACATTTTTATGTTGTTTTACATTAATTATTTATTATTTTTAAAGAAACCTGGAAAAGTTTTAAGAGTTTTTTCACCCAAATATGCATATCATGAATACAGTAAAACTTTTTTTTTTGACAACTATGCTATATTTTTGGAACTATGGTTTTTGTTTCTTTAAGATGTTAAAAATAGAAACAGTCCTTTTTTTAAAAAATTGAGATTGCTAATGCAATTGACAGTAATTCATACTTATAGGGATGGGGAACTTGTGACCTTGACCAAATGTGGCCTTTTAGGTCCTCAAGTGTGGCCTTTTGATTCAGTACAACTTTTACAGAACAGATCCTTTTATTAAGGGGATTTGTTCTGTGAAGTTTGGATTTAATCAAAGGGCTGCTCTTGAGGATTTAGAGAGCCACATGTGGCCTCGGGGCTGCAGGTTCCCCATCCCTGACTTATATCAGAGTTCCTAGGTCTGTGAGAAAATACAGAAGCATGTACCCTCTGAAAGATTTTTTTTTTCTATCCTGATAGGTTTTTGAAAGGGGTTCTCCAGAACTACAGGTTTTAGTTTTCATTATACTGTTCGTTAAAATCAGTTCATTTTATTAGTAAGCATTTATTAAATACCTAAAGTTCTCTGAACCAAAATGGTATTTAAGGGGCAAAAAGGACTTTCAAAGTAAAAGGCCTAGTCCCTGCTCTTTAGAACATTGAAGTTTAATTTGAAATGAAACATGCACTCACAAATCAACTTAACATTAAAAACATATCGCTAAGCATAAAATAGGAAATTATAAATGTCAAAGGATGCAGAATGAAAGGAATCAGAGTTGGTTTGTCCAGGGATACATTTTAGAGGGGTAAATTTGGGGTTTCATCTTTAAGAAGTTAAGGAACGTCAATTGGACATTGTAGGGTAGAGAAATATTTAAAGCAGTCTTTCTTACAAAAATATAATTTCAGTAGTCCTTTCTCTCTGATTCATATATACTTCAAAACACGTCGAGATTAGGTACAAGTTCTCCTTTTTAAGTATTTTTTCTTGGTTAGTGGAATTATTATATACTTCACTTTGTTTTGAGGCAATTGGGGTTAAGTGACTTGTCCAGGGTCACCCAGCTGTCTGAAGTCTGAAGTGTCTAAAGCCAGATTTAAACTCAGACGCTCCTGAGTTTAAATGGCCTTCAGGGCCAGTGCTCTATCACTGAGCCACCTTGCTACCCCATATTTCCCTTTTATTGAAAGCTCTTACTAGTGTAATATGGAGAGTATTTACATAACGTGGTTTGTTTTGCCTTGTATGGCCCTTAATTGTCTCCCTGCCCTAGTATCATCTTCTCTTTTTACCTGGCCAGATATTTCTATTAATTCCGTCATTCTCCTGTGTTAAAGAAACAAGGTAGGAACATTGTCTTCACAAGCATGCTTTTAAAATGAACACAGTACCTGGAGGGTACAGGGAGAACCTCTCACTTTTGAAAACATTATATTAATAAGATTCAGTTTACCAAGTTATGTAGTCATTACCTTGGAAATTTCAGGGACCCTAACCCCAAAGGAAAAGAATACATAGAACAGGTAAGTTTCAGTGAGGAGGAAGACTTGAGACTTGTAATAGTGTAGGGGATTGCGAAAACTAGTATAGGGGGCAAAGGGAGGATAGACTTGCTTTAGATACCATTTGTAGTGCCCTAGATAAAAAGGAAACAGTGTAAAGGAAGCCAGACCCAGAATGAGAGAGTGAGGAGAGATCTAGCTTTTGGATCATGGGGGGGGGGGGGGGTGTTTCTGGGCTATCAGGAACATGGTAGTTCTTATAAGGCACAGTTATTTTCTCCTACATTGCCCTCATCTCCCTTGATTTTTTTTTTTTTTTGCTTTATTTCTTCTTGACTCTGTTGGGGAGTTATGGTCTCTTTGGAAAAATTTACTAGAACATGAATCAGAAGTTTTTAGAAAAAGAAATTTATCCTGTACAAATAGCATGTCTTAGTCACCCCATTCCTGAAAAATTTTTATTCATGGGAATATAATTTTTTAAATTAGAGAAATAAACTAAGATAAGCATCTTAATATATACAGACTAAAAGCAGGCTTAGTTATGGTATAATTCATCATGCTACCTCTTTATAAAATATGTTGTGCACTTTACATCTCTCTCTCTCTCTCTGTCTCTCTCTCTCTTTCTTTCACTCTCTCTCACCCTCACTCCATCACCTTAAGAAAAAATGGAGAAGGAAATAGTTCAGAGAAAGAAAAAGCAGAGGTAAAAAGATAAATAATAGGACAAAAAGACCTGGAATGAATGAATGACAAAGCATTTTGAGCTCCTACTATGTGCTATTCACTGGGGATGCAGATATAAGCAAACAAGACAGTCCGTGCTCTCAGAGAACTTATAGTCTTTTTTTTTAAAATAAATTTATTTATTTATTTTTAGTTTTCAACGTTCACTTCCCCAAGATTTTGATTCCAAATTTTCTCCATATCTCTCCCCTCCCCCCACCCCAAGATGGCATGTAAATTGTTATAGGCTCAACATACATGTTCCTATTAAACCTATTTTCACATTAGTCATGTTGTAAAGAAGAATTAGAACCAATGGGAGAAACCGTGAGAAAGAAGAAACAAAAAGAGAGCAAATAATATGCTTTGATCTGCATTCAAGCTCCATAGTTCTTTTTCTGGATGTGAACAGGAGAACTTATATTCTAATGGAGGAAGACAGCATATAAAGGGGAACTAAAAAGCTGGGTAAGAAGGGGTAGATGTGCAGCAGGATGGTCTGGAAATGACCTGGAATTGATAAGGAGGTTTGATTCAGAGCGAGGTAAGACAAGAGACAAAGGAGAAAACCACAGCTTTGAGAGGCTAAGTCACTGTCCTAGAAGTCAAGCTCTGTATCCACTGCCCATCTGCCTTTAGGGGAGCTCCTCTGTCAAATGGAAATAATGACAGCACCTGCCTTTCTGGGCTGTGAAAATCCAATGGGATGGCAGGTATGAAGCACTTTGCAGACTTTAAAGCATTGTATAAATGCTAGCTATCAGAGCCCAGGGATCCAGGGATGGAATTTAAGTGGTTCTGGTGTGGGAAGGAAAAGAATAAGCATTTCTGTGGCACCTACTATGTACCAGGCACTGTGCTAAACAACAACCCTGAAAGGTAGATGCTATTATTTTCCCCATGTTTACAACAGAAGAAACTGAGGCAATCAGAGGTTGTATGACTTGCCTGGGGTTACCCAGTTGGTGAGTGTCTGAGGCTGGATTTGAGCTCAAGTCTTGGTGACTCCAAGCCCAGTGTTCTGTGTACTGTGATGCCCCCAGCTGTCTCCAGGAACAGGAAGTCCAGAGGTGTTGTGAAAGATGGCTGGAGTGGAGGCAGCTCAGTCTGGAGATGGCTGGGAAGTGAGAGAGAAGGATAGTAAAGAGAGGGGCCAAGAGGAGGGGAGAAGGGATGGAAGGAAAACAGTCCGGGAAGGGCGGTGCTGTGGTTACTTCTGTGTGATGGGCTACTAGTGAATTAAAATCCTGACCAGCTCCATTTAAAGCTAAAGGGGTTGGGAAGGAGGGGGGGGTCAGTGTGAGGACACAAGGGGGGCAGAAGAGGAGTTTAGAAAATGGACTGTTCCCTTCATCATTTTGCTTTCATTGCAGTTGTGCCACCGCCTATGTTCTCTTGGCTGAGGAGGAGGCAACGACGATTGTCGATGCTGAGAAGTTATTTAAACAGGCCCTCAAAGCTGGGGAGACAATTTACAGGAGGTCACAGCAGCACCAGCACCAGAGTCCTCAGCACGAAGCCCAACTTAGTAAGCACATCTAAACTGAGTTGAGCATATCTTTCCAAATGCTCTCTTTTTTTTTTCTTTTTAAGGTAAATGCTCATAGGTTACCTCATTTTCATAGGAAGTGGCTAATCTATTTACCTAGGTTATTTGTAAACTAAAAAAAGAAAAAAATGTGTTCATTAGGAGAAAAATATAGAAGTTTTGCTCAGATTATGTTGAAAGAAGATACAATACCAATTTTTATAGTAGTTACTGTCCAAACAAATGTAATTTATCTCAGGGGGAAGATGGGAGAATCATTAAAGACTCACCTTGAAACAGTTTGTTGTTCTTAAAAGGAAGGTGCTGTATTCAATATTTTAGAGTTTTCTTATTGGTAATGTAATGCTGCTTTGTTCCTCTGTCATCCCAAAATAAATGCTGTTCAAGCTCTGGATGTCTAGAATTAGGGCCAGGGAACTACAGTGGGATAAGGATGAATTCACTTTATTAAATTCTCAGCACAATACCCACTCACCCTCATACCTTGTCCTAATTGTTTCTGAAATTCTCCATGAAATGCTTGAGGTGGTCCTTTGGCGAACCACAAAAACTAAGGTCTCTCTTTTCTCCATAGGGAGACACTTTTACCAGACACATTAGGAGCAACAACGCTGCTGCTGCCTTCTCTTTGTGGCCAAAGGGCTTCAATTTCATGATTTTGGCAGTTAGAGGACAATAAATTGAAATGTTTATATATTGCATTATCTGTTAGCAGTTAAGTTCTAAATCTTTTTGTTTGTGGAAATTCAGGTTTGGATAATGTCCCCTCTCTAGGCTAAATATTGATGTATACAGTATGTTTCATTACTGTATGTTATTATAACACTAACTGTGGGAATTTATAATTTTGCAGGCTGGAACTAATGAAATTGCATCTGTTAAAAAGTATCATGTTATTTATCCTTGTAAAATCTCAAATATGAGTATGAGATAGTTACAGAAACATTTTTAAAACGGTTTCTAGAAGTTTGAGTTTGTTATCCATTGGCAGCTTTTTTTTTTTTTTTTTAAGTTTAATTGTCCATGGAAATTTTATTTTGGGATCTCTTAGCTAGCCAGTCAAAACAAGTGAAGATTATCATAATACTGTTATTTAAGTAGAAATATAAAATAATGAGTTAATGCTGCTTTTCTCAATTAATAATGGCTTTTTTTTCTGTGAGTCTTAAACATGAACTTGTGACATGCACATGTACTGCAGACTTTGCATTGTATTAGTTGGACCAGTTATTTGTAGAGACATAAATTATACGCTTTTATTTCGGTTACTTCTTCCAGTGTAAGTAAGGAAATATAATGGATAATATAAATAAAATTTCAGATAATCATGTTAGCCGGTAGTTGTATCATTCTTTTCTTTTTCATTTAGGAAGAGACACCAATGTATTGGTTTATATTAAACGAAGACTAGCAATGTGTGCAAGAAAATTAGGAAGAATAAGAGAAGCAGTAAAAATAATGAGAGATGTGAGTAATTTTGAAGATCATACTGCTACTTTTAATAATTAAAAGTGTTTTCAGCAAGTTCTAAATTTTTAGTTGAATCAGTTTTTAATTGACTTAATAACAATGTATATGGAATATAGCTTTATTTAGCAAGTTGTAGAGTTTCTTTTATTCAACAAATTCAATTTAATAAACATCTGTTAAGCATATTCTAGTTCTAGGCACTGGAGACTAAAACAAAAATGAAAACTGTCTGCCTTCAAGGAGCTTACATTCATCTAGGGAGAGACAATATGTTGTTATTTTGCTAAACTACAACTTCTATGTTCCATGTTTTAACCATTTTTTTTTTTAATATGCAGCTAATGAAAGAATTTCCTCCTCTTAGTATGTTGAACATCCATGAAAATCTTCTAGAATCCCTTCTAGAATTACAGGCTTATGCAGATGTTCAGGCAGTTCTGGCGAAATATGATGGTAAGTGGTGTTTGTCTAACACTTTTACCTAACATTTACATTCCCTTTTCTCTCTTAGTGTATCTGTCAGATGGTTCAGCATTAATGTGCATGAAACATTGGGATCCAGAGAGATTTTTGGACTTTCTGTTTCTTTCCTTTAATGTAGTTCACTAATGGTAGCACAAAGGGCAGACTGGCATGGGTCATTAGGAAGTGTCTTCTTCTCATCAGGGTCTTTAAATGAATCAGAAATCTGAAAGGGATGCCTTTTATCCTGCCAAAGTACCCTGGTCTTGCTCCTATGAAATAGTTGCATCAGTTCACCTCAGGAGTTGTAAGGATTGTTACAGAGACACACTGCAACTGTTCTCCCTGGGGACATGAAGATGTCCCCTGTGAGGTATCTTCTTGTAACCACAAGCTGAAAGTAGCCTGATATCACTCATCACAGTGTCCTTTGACATGCCTTTCAGCTTATCGGAGCACCTTGTTGTTTACCACACCTGTACTGTTGTGGATTTTTGACCATTAACTTAGAAATATTTGTGACCTGTTCCTTTTTGCCTGTTGACTTGGAAAGTTTGAAAGTGTTATATTTGGAGAGAAAAGTTTATTTCTTTTAAACATCTGGAACGCTTAAGAAGTGCTTCAGAATGATGCACGCTCATGAAGAAATTTGTGAGAAATCCTTTCCATATGTTACTTACCAGATGCTTGGCCTGCTTGGGATCCATGTGCTAGACAAGCTTGGAGACTGTATTTAAGAAATCAAAGTGAGCTGCTGCTAGAGAAAGCCTAGGACTTGAGATTTAACTGGTTTAAAAAATTTGAGATTTGCTCCTGTGTTCTGAATTCTTTATTCAGTATTCTAATACTATTATGCTGTAGAATTTCACTGTTGTATTCTTGGAAAAAATAGGAAATCCTCCATTTTAGTATTGTATTTGCTAGTTTCACTTGAGTTTTGAGAGTCATTAAAGAGAAGATCTTTACCACTGCAGTTCTGGTGCAGGAACTTTAACTTTTTGAAAGTCAACTTTGACATTAAAAAAATAAAAAAGAGTTATGAAATTTACATAATGTGTTTGTAGACATAATTTTAAAATTATTTTCCTTAAGCAATTTAAGTTTGATTTCACAGATTTCGGATCTTTTTATTACAGATATCAGTCTTCCAAAGTCAGCAGCAATTTGTTATACAGCAGCACTCTTGAAGACTAGGACCGTGTCGGATAGGTGAGTAGCTGTGGAATTTAGATCATCTGGAGAAGATACTAACTGTAGACCCAAATATAAGAACATTTATTTTTTTTCTTTGCTAGTTTTTAATAATGCTCCTTTTAAAGTTGTTTTTCTCTTAATCTTTACTAAGGCCTTGAAACTCTTTGGCCTTAATTATTTGACATTTTATGTATTAGAATGAAATATCACATGCTATTTCCCTGAGTTTATATATAATGTGGGTAATTTTGAATTCCCTTGATTGTTGGTTGTTCTGAATGCATTTCTGAACGTGTCTATTTGCTGAATGAAGGGAAACTTTTTCTTTTGCCTGCATTCCTCTCAGGTGAAAACTGGTAGAGGTCTCCTTCTATGTAGTAGGACTATAGATGTTCCTCTGTAGCTTTCCTGATTTTATTATCCTTCCCAAAGGGTCTAACTTAGTTTCTAAGTGCTTCTGCAATCAACTGTACTTCAAATATGTTTGAAGATTTCTGTTCCCTTTGCTTCCTGGTTGTATATATTGAACCAGGTGGCTTTACTTTCAGTATTAGAAATCAGTTGCCTTTTCCTATCACCAGAAACCTCTCAATTTTGGGACGTTGACTTATGGTCTTAACTCATAATTCTTCCTTTTTTCTTTAATGGTTTTTTCCCCCCAGATTTTCTCCAGAAACAGCTTCTAGAAGAGGACTGAGCACTGCGGAAATTAATGCCGTGGAAGCAATTCATAGAGCAGTAGAATTTAACCCTCATGTTCCAAAAGTAAGTGAGTTGCTTTTCTTTTAGAACTGCATTTTTTTTTTTATGAAAATATCAACATTACCTAAGTCGATGGCAGATATTGTATCAAAAACTAGATCTTCTAACTTCTAGTCTAATAGTCTTAACTATTCTAGCTTGCTTTTTTCTCATTTGACTAAAGGGGTTGTTAAGAACATTTATAAAAACCAATAGGAATAATCGCTTTAGAGTTGGAGGTTGCTATCAGAATAGTCTGAAGTCTGTCTCTTCAGTTAGTTGTTGCTTTCACTATAGCTTTAGGGGAGAAATAGCCAAATGGCATGGTTTTAATGGAGGGTCATTCATATTTTGAATCATTAAATCAAATTTCCTGTGTTTTACTGTAAGAGTGTTTTCTAGACAAATGCCTGAGTTTTGGACCTGAGCTGGACAAAGACTGGAGACAAATAGATTAAAATAATCAATGATAGGAAACAGATGTGGAAGTTCCCAGAACTGCTGAGTTGATGTTTGTGTAGTCCCTGATGAAACTGTGTACCAGTTTCATTTTTCTTTGTTACACACCCTATCGGCATGGCTTGTTGAATAATATTTATGTATTCTCACCTAACATTGAATATTGCTTGCTGTTTTTTTAAGGCATATTAAAAATACTTTAAAAAATTTTTAAATAGACATTGTACATCATATTGAGAAAAAGTTTTAGTTGCAATTAAGTATAATACAAGATAAGATTATGGAACTTGGAAACTGGTGAACACTAAAGGGATTAATGTCCAAGAAATAATTTCCAAAAAAATAGAGTCTACAGAGATGAGGCCTTTACTGAGAGCCTCCTTGGCCCCCCTACCCCTAGGTAGGTTGGCAGAGCCCACAACATGAGATACTAATAGTGCGCTTGATTTACGGGTCAGCAGACTTAGGCTTAAATCCTGGTTCTGACACAAATTGTGTGACCTTGCTCAAGCAAGATAACATGGGAGCCTCAGTTCCCTTATCTGTAAAATGGAAATAGATAATAATACTGTTATTACCTTCCTCATGAAGTTGTCATGGGGAAAATGTTTTATAAACCCTGCAGTGCTATGCACAAATGCAGTGTTACTAATAAATGGTAAACTTGTGTGAAGAATAAGCAATATTAGGCAGAATTGCCTAGAAAATGATTCTAAATCTTAGAACTAATTACTCACTTTACATTTTTGTACCTTGACTGATTTATCCCTTCATTACATAAAACCAGCAATCTTAATTTTTTTAATGAAAAAAGTATTTTTTAAAAAACTATTGCTATTCTGGATAGTGGTAAAAATTGTCCATTTTATATGGAAAGGCAAGTAGAATAGCTACTGAAAACTACTCTAATTAGGTAATGGCCACTATGCTCTTCATAGGGACTTTTTAATACTACTTTATCTGAAAACAAATATAAAATGATCATTTCATGACATATAAGGTTAAATTGTTAGACATTTCTGTAAATTCCAGGTTGAATTTTCGATGGAAAAACTACTGCATTGAAGAGATTTTCTTTAAGGTTTTCAATAATAGGCCCTGTTTTAATTTTTTTTTACTTAAAATTAATTTTCATTAGTAATTTATTAAAAACAAAACAGCCTGTACTTTTTAGCCAGTCCAACAAATGGCCTGATGGGAAGATGGGACTTTCTTGAATAATAGATGAGGTGATGACCCAACTTTTATTATTATACTCAATTGAGAGTTGAATTGTGCTGCAAAATGACATTATTTTAAAAGAGTGGAATTCTTAAGCTGAACTCTATCAAACAGCATAGTCATTAAGGTACTTCTGAGAAACTCTTGAGTCCCAACAATCTGGACAGTGTCCCACTTAAATAACATTAATGTTATATGAACTGACACAGCTCTGGAATTTGTGGCTGTCTGTTTTTGCTACAGTCATACATTGATGAAGTACGTTCAGGCTCCTCTCTCTCTTTTTTTTCCCCTGTCATGGTCTATATTCCTAACTCTCAGCTGGGGCCAAGCAAACGTAAAGGACTTTGGGGGGTTTCCTTCTCAAACCTCTATTGAGGTTCGTGATAACTTCTTTAACCTAATGAACAATGACATTTTCAGCATTTTTAAAAACGTTTTCATTTCTTCTTACAAATTTCTTATGCAAATTTGGCATAAATTATCATATGAAACATAACAGTAAAATGACAAAGGATAAAGTTGATTTAGCAGAGAATGTTTGTTGGCAGCTTTCCATACAGCTCCAACAGGAATGACTGTGGGTCTAGAGCTGTGCAATTTGTTAAAGCTGGAAACTATTAGAAGTGCAATGGAGAAAGATCACATAAATTTCTCCAGGCTATGAATTTACTTTTAGGTATTTCATTAATATTGATTACTTGTACAGACCTTTAATTCTTCTGAGTAAATTTCGGTACCCAACAGTTATGATAACCCTGTGGTCTTGGTTTGGGGTTTGTATATTCTGTTTATACCAGCAAGTTTTTTATTTGGTTATGCAACTTTTGTATGTGTTATCACTAGAGCTGCTGCATATTTTACGTCCAGGCAGATTGGGGAAACCTTTTATACTTTGATTCTCCAGAAGTCCTAATTCATTTCTCTGCTTTCAGGCTAGCTTTATCTAGTCAGTTCTATACATATGGATGTCTATCACGTTCTCAAATATCTTTAGAGAAGAAGATTCCAGAATATTACTTATGACCATATTTACTTGTTTCATGTTTCTTGTCATTAGCCATAAGTTTCTTTTCTCCAAGTTTTGAATACAAGGTATCTTTTAATACCATTAGTATTTTTGGTTGTCCTTTGTACATGCATTTGGTTAAAATGGAATGTTAGATTATAAGACCTCCAGAGGAATAAGTCTGGCATCTTTCTGACATACCTTGTTATCTTCCTAGGCCTCAGTTTCCTCATTTATCAAAAGTAGGAATTAGACTAGATCCACAGTCTGTAAACTTGGTTTTTAAAAATACTTTATTAACTGTATTTCATTATAATTATTTCCCTTTGTAATCGTAGGTATTCTATGCATTTAAAATAATTCTTCTGAGAAGTGGTCCATAAGCTTCACTAGACTGCCAAAGGGATCCATGATTTACAAAAGGTTAAGAAGCCCTAGACTAGATGGTCTCCATGGTTCCTCCCAGCTTTCTGTAAAAACTGACTCTTGTTTTGGGCAGGCAAAGATACTCTGACTAAAATTAGAGTATTTCATTGAAAGGTTTCCTATTTTCATGTTACCAAGATTGATTGTCACTGAAAATCATTGCCTCCTCATTGGCATACTCATCCCCAACCCCTTTCTTTTTCTTGTCTGAGCAGTCCTATTTCCCTGTAAGTGCCATTGTTGTGCTTTTAGCCAAGAATATATAAAACTCAGGCATTCTTCTCTTGAAAACAGTGAAGATCCAAGGTGAAGGGCCCAAGACAGATGGGAATTAACTAGTCTGACACCCTGAGCAAAGCTTGTTTGTATCTTGCAGAATGTATGCAATCAACAGCTGACAAGCTTTTAATGTTTATTATGTTCAGGGCACAATGCTAAGCACTGGAGATACAAAGCAAAAACAAAAACAGCCCCTGTCCTTAAGGAGCTTACATTCTAGCTTGGGAAACAATATGTACATAAATAGGTATATATACATTACGTACAATAGTAAAGCAGATTATTCAAAAGAGAGGATACTTGTTTTTGAAAATCTCCATGTCTTGAGCACATTCAGGAGTACTTTTTTCTGTTAGCTTATTTTATTTTATTTTTTTTCAGAATTTCTTGTTTAATATTAAAGCTGCTTTTAGTCTGGTGCTGGCAAGAAAGTTGACTTTGCCTGGGGCTTTTATAGTTGCAAGGGGATTTAAAAAAAAAAAAAGTAAATATGTAGAATATAAAGTCTGTTCTGGTTAGTCTGGAGCACTTTGAAACATTCAGAACATTGTATACCGCTGATCGTAGACTATTCTTTTAGCAATGAGGGCACTATCAGTGTACTGCTTAACTATCCCAGAATGCCTGTCCTGCAGTGGCACATGCCCAGAGTTACTGAGAGGGGATAAGATGAGATCATGAATGCAATGGAAGGAGTGACAAGAGAGGTGAGGGGGTTATAGATGCTGACCCCCACATAGTGTGAGTGGGACCTGCTTCTGGTCCTTCAAGTGTCCCTGTTATCCAAACAGGGCAGGTAAAACGTTTGATACCCATTTTGAATGGATGATGCCTCCCTTTGCCATTCCTTCAGTGTAGGATCATATCCCCTGTGTCTTGAGGCTATTGAGGGTATGGATAGCAGCTGCCCCTCATACAGAGCCACGTGGCTCTCTGCATTCAGCTCGCTTGTCCAGTCTCATAGAATGTGCACTGAGAATGATAATTGCAGAGAGAAATTGGCATTTGTGTGCATGACTGATCAAGAGCAAAGCAACTTAATTTCAGATGCTCTCAGACAGATTTGTCTTTAACCTCTGCCTTTACAAGGAAGAAGATTATAGAGCATTATCATTACTTCAGGTCAGAGTTTTATTGCGTTTGGCCAAAGACCATTGCAAGACTTACAGAGCTGGGGGTAGATATAAGGTAATCTTTAAAATAAATTATAAAGATCAAAGCATAACAAACTTAGAGGTAGTTTGAGTATAACAATAGGTATTATTTAGAGCTTTTATTATAAAGGTAATCGCTAGACCGCTATACCACCATATTACTTTAACCCTAATGTTGAGGTGGCTGTTGCTCTAATTTTCTATGTGACCAGTGCAAATAGGTTCTAGTAGTTATTTACTGTCTGACAGATGTATGTGTAACTTAGCTTTTCAGGTATTGTTCTAGAGTAGCCAAGTCAGCCTTGCTTCTGGAAACTTCTAGTGTGCATGGAATAGGTTCCAAGTTAATGGTGAAGGTCTTCCCAGCTTGGGAAAGATCCCTAAAATACGTGTAACATAGGAGATAACATAGGAGAGGTGAAACTTAGTGGGGTTAACTTGGAACATTGCAGGGGAATGGATTTGGAAACAGATTACTATGTCAACCTGTCTAATTTTGGAGAAGCTCAATTGACCCATCACTTTAAAAGATCCAGTTTTGTTTAGCTTAGCTTTTCACTTTGTTACCTTATTTAAAGATATTCTTATTTTCTCCTTTTCTGAATGACATATAATCCCAGTGTAATATAAAACAAATGCAATGGCATATTTGATTTATGCCTATTTCTTTTTAATTAAACCTTTTCCCTTCCTTATACATATTTATTTAAGACAAATTAAATGAACATTTAAATCATAAAATTATAGACTGAAAATTGGAAGGAATCTTAGAAGTATCTAGTCTGATGCTTTCATTTTATAGTAGAGGAAACAAAGACCCAGAGAGCTTTGGTAACTTGCTGAAGGTCACACAAATTAGTGGTAGAGTCAGGATTTGAATTCAGGTCCTCTTACTTCAAATCCAGCATTTTTTCTACTATACCATGTTGAAGGAGTGGCTTCTGTTTTGCACACATAGTTGGAAAATATTCCTACATGTACTTTAGGGATCTTTGATTTCATTAATGTGGGTACTGTAACAATAACATCACAGTATCCTTTCTGCTTTACTGGCTAGTCCGCTCATGTTTCTGTGGCCAGAAAAGTTTGTTACTAGATTATCAAACTACAAGTACTATACCTTTGTACGTCATTAGGCTGGTTCTCCAACAACAGAAATGTAATCCATCACTAGCCTGTACTTGAAGGCTTCCTGGCTTGGTAGGACTTGCCAGAACTTATGCTCTTCTGGGGTAACCTCCAAGAATCTAGGATCACCTCCATGTCACGATGAGGCATTAGAAAAATACTTTAGTAGAGAATCCTAAAGTCTTCAGCTATGTGTGTTAGACTGAGTTAGCCAACAATTAGAGTGGAATAGTATATTAGGTGTTGGAGCAAGGTACAAAAAACATGGTCATGATACTCAAGGAAATCTGTCATTTCAAATTTGTCTTGATCATCACAATACAGTTGTTCACCTGGCTTATCTTCTCTCCCCTTTCAAAATCATTTTTATATTGCTGTCATGGCAGATTAATGATCCTAAAACACAGATCTTTGTCCTGTTCAAAAATCTTCAGTCGTCTTCTGTTGTCTCTAGGATGGGATACAAAATCTTTACCCAGACATTGAAACCCTCTCTACCTTACTGCCACAGACTCTTCCCAATTGATTTCATGTCCCATCCTTTAAAGACCTCTCTGTACTCATCACATTGGTCTCTTAGCTGTTTCTGAACAGGACACTCTGCCTCCTGCCTCCATATGCTGCCCCCATGCCTAGAATTCACTCCATCTTCACCTCCCCCTCTTAGAATCCCTAGCTTCTTTCAAAGCACATCCCTAGTTGTTAGTGCTTCCTACCTCTTAAAATTATATTTTGGCACCATGTTTTTAATAACTTGTGTACATTTTACATTCCCTCAGTAGGCTTCTTAAAGGCTGGGACTGTTTACTTTTTGTCTTTGTATCCCCAGTGCCTAGCATAGTGCCTTGAACATAGTAGGTGCTTAATAAATGTTTGTTAGTTTGATTTGATGAAATATACAAGTTGAAGTTGGGTAAGAGATGGATCCCCCTTTTATTATAGACATTTTCATTAAATGGAGAATTTTTCTTGAGTTTTAGATCAACATTTTTTTTAAGCTCAGAAAATTATGACTTGTTCCTGTGGGATAAATGTGTAGAATATTTTAACTTGAATTATTAGGCAAAATTTGATAATATGTAAATAAATTATTGCAAGGGAGAATTTTAAAATTAAAAAGTTGCAGATTTGTTTTCCTTTTTTTTTTTTTTGGTGAGGCAGTTGGGGTTAAGTGACTTGCCCAGAGTCACACAGCTAGTGAGTGTTGTCAGTATTTGAGGCTGCATTTGAACTTAGGTTCTCCTGACTCCAGGGCCGGTGCTCTATACACTGTGCCACGTAGCTGCCCTAGATTTGTTTTCCTGAGAAACAGCATGGACTTATTTTCTCACAAATATGTCTTATAAGTTTGCATATGTGTATATAAATACACCTGTGTGGGGTTGTAGATAGAGAAGACCAGAATTCAAGTCGTACCCCCCAGCACCAATTGGCCATGTAACTTTCTAAACCTGTAAGCTATAGAAAAGCTGCTGGAGGGAATTTCCTCCCTAGGATTTTCCCACATCTATGAGACTGCAGGTCTGGACAAAAGGAAAAAAGTCGCACATGCTTGAATACCTTTATTGCTGGAATTATTAAACAGCAGATTATTGAGTTGAGAAAATATTTATTGTGAATCTTCAAATGATTTGCTCTTATGAGATTAGAATTATTCTAATATCTTGGTTCAAGTTGAGTGCCTCGCAGTGTTCTCTAGCTGTGTACAACATTTGGAGTCCAAGGTTTTAGTTAATAGTAAACTAAAGTCTTTAGGAGTGTAAATATAAAATAATTGCAGTATTTTCACAGTTCCATATGAGCTGCTATTTGTAAAAACTAAGGTAAGCTTTAATGGAAAATTCCTATGTGTTAAGTAGGTCTCAAAATTAAGAAATTAAGTACTTGTAATTTTCAGGTAGAGACTTTCCTGTGTTTGCAGCATTTTGTGTGTGTGTGTGTGCGTGCGCGCTCGCTCACTTCCTACTGAAGCACTTAGTGCACTTGTGGCGTATTCAGCGCAGAGAGCATAAGGAGTCATGTCAGAGGTCAGATATTTGAGCCAGTTTTCCCACAGCCGCCTGGTGTGAGTGATCTTTTACTATGTTTAAAAAAAATGGAAGAGGATTAAAGGGGATTAGAAAGAATATTACCCTCCCAAGTATAGGCCCAAGGCACTAAGGGAGAGAACCCAGCCAGGCAGTAAATGGGCTTTGCTTGACCAGGGCACAACCTCTACTGCATTCCTTTAAGAAACTGAATGGGAAATGTTAAGTCCCCAAACTGGATTAGTAAATAATCTCATAGTTTGTGACATCTGCTGAAATAAATTGATGAGCAGGCTGCATTCTTACACTTTGAGGACAGAGTCAGAAACATCAAGAGCAAAAATGATTAAAGGTGGGGATTAAGCTTAGTCATTATCTAAGAGGCATATTTCATAAACAAACTGGAAAAAATTCATCTTATATATGTTTGGATGATTGAAGTGAGCTGTGCATTTAGGTGCATGTATTAGAAACATTTTAGAATGCGAGACCTAATGGTCTCCTTTTAAAATTTTTGAAACTGTTGCCGCTAAAATGTATTACAGGACTATGGAATCTTGATTTTACAAACATCTCTCATAGATATCTGTTCTTTTTACTTTTGCCTGTATAAAAATTATGGGAACCACACTGTTGATTTGAAGTGAAAGAATATGTTTCTTATGCAACACATCTGCAAGTAGGAACTTTTCCCCTTGCATTTTATAACCAGTTAGTGTGGTTTGGCTATTATGACTCACAATTTAGTATCAGCTTGCTCATAACCAATGAGAGTCTTCTGAGCTCATTTCAGTGAGAGAAGAGAGTCCTGAGCCCTGAGTGGAGAAAAGCTAAATTGGCGAGCTAAACAGCATTGAATAGTATTGTTATGGATAATAGAGATAACATATGTTCAAGTGGACATTTCAGTTTCTATCTTCATTTTAATATGTTTGATGGATACATTGGCCATTATTTCTCTGCTGTTAATAATGATTTTAATGGTAAAGCAGGGTTTTTCTGTTAGAGTAAAAGATGAATTTCAGAATGAAGTTTGGCAGCTCTATTAATTCTAGTTCTCTTTTCTGAAAATTCAAGAATAAGAGGAAAAAAGAAAAATTATTTCAATGCAATGCTCCCCAGCATGGTGCTTTGTAAATTTTTGACATTATTTTTGTTTTACTGTGTTGCTGACTTCTTCATTTTTGCTTTTCTCAGGGGTGTTCATGGGGAGATTGTCAGTCGACTTTCTCATCTTCTGTTTCCATTTTAATCTTGGGGAAGCTTTATTCCTTTTGCCATTTTTGTGGCCAATGAGAACATCATAAACTATGAGAATCTTGTGTAAGTGTGTATGTTTTTTAATCAGTATTTAATACACTCACACCCCTCTTCTGGATTTTCGGTTTCATCATGAGTCTATCACTCCTCCTGAGATTTCAGTATAGCAAACAAGCTTCCTAACGTTTTGAGATTTGTGTTTTTGTGAAGTTTGGGTCTAATCCAGATAACTTCACTTTCTTTTCTTCTCTTGTGTGTCTTTGTGTGTGTTATTCTTCCAGTATTTACTTGAAATGAAAAGTTTAATATTACCCCCAGAACATATTCTGAAGCGAGGGGACAGTGAGGCAGTTGCCTATGCTTTCTTTCATCTTCAGCACTGGAAACGAATAGAAGGTGCCCTTAATCTGTTGCAGTGTACGTGGGAAGGCAGTAAGTATTCTTTTCCAATCCTACTAGCTAATCTCTCTGACTTTATTCACAGCATTCACTAGCAGTCTGCTTTAATGAGATTGTGTTAGCCTCCTTAAGGCTTTGTTGTTCAGATTAGTTTCAAAGTGAATTCAGTACTATTATGTTTGGTTTATTGCTGGAAATGCTTAATTCACTTATCTTGATGCCATATTTGGGGTGGAATTGAAGCTGCAATCTTAAGATGTCCAGTAAAGCTCATGTAGCTAGCTGTAGTGATGTAACATAAACGTTATTTAAAGTACATGGTTGTAGGGGACTCTACTGAAGATCTCTAAGTCCTGTTCTAATGCCTCATCCTGGCATGGAGGTGACTCTGGGCTATTCAAAGACAGTTCCAGCAGAGCTTAAGCTCTTGCAGGTCCCACTGGGCTATAAAGATTTCAATTACTGGATCATTGACAGATGTTAGTTATGTCTATCATCTGAGGACCAGCTCAGCTCAGTTTGGTGAGGCTTTTCCCTAGAAAACTAGTTACAGGATGATTTTTTTTTTTTTTTCAGCACAGCAGCTTGATCTGCTAAGGCATGATAGGGTAGCCGTCTACATTGGTGAAAGAAGCACCCACATTGATGAAGTTATGGATTTTTGAAATGTTAAACGTATGGGGAAATAATAGATAAATAGAAGAGACTTTAGACTAGTGAACTTTTTCAGGTTTGTTTAATTGTTTTAAAGTTTTCTTTGTAAGAAGTTATGTAGTTGCGCTTTTTTTCTTTTTAACTTCTTAAGTAATAAATAGACAAGAAAGTGAAGATCCATGGATACCTATTTTTTAGCAGTAGGAATTCTTATAGTCATTCTCATACTACAAAATGAATTCAGATGGCTGCCTCCCAAAATGACAGCTTTATTTTTAAACAAGTATTCATTCAGAAAATTAAACTAGGATAAGTAGTATAATACGACTTTCTTTTCATTCTTCTCTCATATAACTTCACTATAACACATTATTCACTTTTTCGTGAATAGACTTGTTATATGACTCAACTTTGTCACTTAATTTACAACTTTGGACGTATCGTTTACTCTCTTGTGTTCAGTCACACAAAATGATGTAAGTGAAAGCTATCGAAAGCATTATCAATATCAAATTAAATCAATATTTAAAAAAAGATATGAAAGAATTATCAATGGCCAGCACCCTGTAAGAGAAGAAACTGATATTTCCCCAGTAAAGGGTAGTGACCAAAGTAAAGACTTAACTGAATCAGAACCCTCACAAGGAGTCCACAAGAATTTTTAACAGTTCCCATTTTATGCCCACCTCCGTAGGGGAGCTATTAGAGGGTGCTCCGAGGTGAACCCAGGACCAGCAGCAATTCCTTGATGTGCTCCCTCAGCCATAACCTGAGGAATCACGTGTAGAAGTCCTTTTGGAATAAAGTCAGCTGCCCACAAAGTGAGGAGAATAATCCCAGTTCACTTCATACAGTGGTCATGCAGAAGCAGCATGTATAAACCACTAAGTAAGTAAATGATAGAGTCCGTTTTCTCAAGGTCTGGAGAAATTAGTGGAACCCTCTTGGTTGTTTTGTAAAACATGTGTTCCTTGACTGGCCTGTGCGAGAGGAATAGCAGGAGGAGCGCTGTGAAGCAGTCAGAATTTGTCTTCCAGAGCCTTTAGCGTTTTCTTTTTATGCCCTACTTCATGGTTCCCTGTCTCCCAGTTTCCCAGTGACCTCATGGTCCCTGGTCTCTTCACGAAGGAGTAACTGCCTCAGAGAAAGGAACGATAATATTTGTTCATATTGATAATTTTCCCACAGAGGCTCTTCCAAATCTTTTCCACTCTCCAGCTCCTTACCTTAACCGTATTACTCTCAACAGAAAACCCTAGCTCTTACTTTCTCAAGGCACCCCGAGGGAGAAATAGGAGGTAGCATATACCAGTCAAACCAAACAAAACCACCACCACCACCTTGAGCACTGTCTGCCCTCAGACTCTGCTGAAGACAGTCCAGGACCCTGAACCCAGAAACCTTAGAAAAAGCAATGCTTCTAGCCCAGAGCCCTCAGCCACAGTCTTAGAAAGCAATCCCTGTGCAGATGTAGCCTGGCAAGTACTACTGCAGGTGCTTGCTATATGTAGCCACAGTTATTGAAGAGCTGAAAAATACTTTTCTTGCACCAAAGTCCTTGGTACTGACAAATGATTTAACATCAAAAACTGAGATGATTTTATCAGTGGATGGCATTTTTAAAAAGAGGCATTAACATCTGCTTTGCTGCCAAACCCTAAAGACCCTCGGATCTTTCTATCTGATTTGTAGCTGTAACCTTCTATATGTGTTGTTTCCCCTACTGGAAGGTGAGCTTCTTGAGAGCAGGGATTGTTTTACTCTTCTATCTGTACCTCCAACACTTAGTGTGGTGCTTTGCAAATAGTAAGTGTTTAATAACTGCTTTATTCATTCGTTTTTATTTATTTTGAGAATGCCATATAGCTTTTCACTGAATTATAGGATAAGTTATCCAGCGTTGAAAGGCAAATATGTTGCTTTTGTTTCCCTTAGCTTTTAGAATGATTCCATACCCATTAGAGAAAGGCCATCTATTTTACCCTTATCCCAGCTGCACGGAGACAGCCGACAGAGAACTATTACCCAGTAAGTGAATTTTTCATGTTTTTCTAAGGTTATGCAATTACATTTCCCCCCATAATTTTGACCTTCCATTTTTGAAGCATTTTCAGTTGAATCCCAGAGCACTGTATAAACCTACTCACTGTCTTAGCTATATTCAATGTGTTTTGATTTTTTTAGAGTAAAGTATTATTGATGTCTTTTAGCTTTTCATCATCTATATTTCCCCAGTGTATCTCTCTCCTTCCATTCCCCAGAGTGCCATTCCTTATAACAAAGAAGAAAAAAAAAAAAAGCAGTTTTGCAAAACTAACCAACAATGCATTGTTTCATTGAATGAGAGGTAAAAGAACCTCAACATTATTATATCTTTGAATGACAGGATTGTTTACGATCCTAGGCAATAGTGTCCCTGTTCAAATATAGGTAGACTTTAATTTACATTCTTTGGAGGAAAATGTTTTGTAAAACTCAGTAATAGATTGATTGTTTTCTCATCAAAACAGCATGGTTTCAGTTACTGTTACTTTTCACCATTTGTTGCTTAAGTCAGGGGGGGAAACACTCACAAAAATGTAATAGTCCATGCCCTAAAAAATCTGTACCCTTTCATTAGCCCCATCCAGCTATCTTTCCTAACTTGTACTACAATAGCAGCTCTTTTATGAGCTATGAAATGGTTGAAGATTGACTTCCATAGCCTTTAGCTTTCCCTTTTTGTGCCTATCTTCCAGTTTCCCAGTGTCCTCATGGTCCCCAGTCTCCCTCCAAATAAATACCTGCCTCAAGGATAAAAACTATAAAACTCATTCACACTGGTAATTATCCGACAGGAGATGGTCAAATCTTGTCCACCATCCTCAAGCTCTTAACTCCACCTTTATCATTCTCAGCAGAAAATTTCAACTCTCACTTTACTAAAAAAAATTGAGTGTAGGACATCCAGTATAAGCACCCTTGATTTTCTTTCTTTCCATCTCAAGATTTTTCTTTCAATTTCTTTCAGTTTCAAAAAAAAAAATCCCTTTGTTCCTCTTCCTTTCTAAGCCCAATCCTATCTGTTCTCTTAACTGTGTCCCTTCCTGCTTCTTTTGGAACCTTGTTCCATCAGTTATCCTTCTTTCTTAAATCTTAAATATCTCCCTTTCTTCTAGCATCTTTCCTGAACCTCTGTCCTTAAAAACAAAACAAAAGGGACAGCTAGGTGGTGCAGTGGCTAGAACACCGGCCCTGGATTCAGGAGGACCTGAGTTCAAGTCCAGACTCAGACACATAACACTTACTAGATGTGTGATCCTGAGCAAGTCACCTAACCCCATTGCCTAGCCAAAAACAAAACAAAATAAAAAATGTCTTCAAAGCCCTGCTACTTATTTGAACTACTATGACATCTCCTTTGAATTTCTCAGAGTAGTGGACATTTCTGTCTCTGCTGTCTCACCAGCAGCCCCTCCCTACTTAATTTCTAACAATCAGGCTTCTGCCACCAACTCTTCACTAAAATTGGTCTCTTCAAAATTATTTCATGTTAAAGGCAGAGCTGGAAGGGTACATAGAGATTGTTGAGTCCAACCCCCTCATTTTAAAGATGAGGAAACTGAGGCCTGAGGTCACTCAGCTAGTATGTGTGGCAAGAGTCCAACCCAGGTCTTACATATACCAAGTCCAGCACTCTATCCACTAGACCATGTTGCCTCTCATCAGTGACCCAAAATCGCCAAATCCAGTGTCAATTTTCCAGGTTTCCTCCTCTTCCTTGACCTCTTTCCAGCTCTGTTGAGTATTTCTACCTTCTCCAAACTTAAAACCTCTGAGACATTTTTGACTTTTTCCTCCCCTCACATACAGTCAGTTGTCAACTACTGTTGATTATTCTTTTGAAAAAATGTTGTTCAAGGGGCAGCTAGGTAGTGCAGTAGATAGAGTACTGGCCCTGGGGTCAGGAGGATGTGGGTTCAAATCCTACTTCAGACATTTGACACTTACTAGCTGTGTGACCCTGGACAAGTCACTTAACCCCAATTGCCTTGCAAAAGAAAAATCTCAAAACAAAAACAACAACAACAAAAAACTGCAGAGTATTCACAACTTCATGAAAGAGCACTGCAAATCACTAATAATAAGAGAAATGCAAATCATACCTGAGGTTTCAACTCACATACTGCAAATTGGCAAGAATGACAAAAAGTGGCAACAGTCAATGTTGGAGGGATTGTGGAAAGATAGGTACACTTATACATTGTTGGTGGAGTTATGAAATGGTACAATCATTTTGAAAAGCAATTTGGAGTTATGCAAATAAAGTGACTAAATTGTCTGTACCCTTTGACCCAGAGAATCCATTACTGGGCTTCTACCCCAAGAAAGCTATTGAAAAGAAAAAAGTCCCCATATACTATAAAATAGTTAATAGAAGCACTTTTTGTGATAATTAAGAGTTGGAAACAAAGGAGATGCCAGTCAGCGGGGGAGTGGCTAAACAAAATTGTGGTACATGAATGTAATGGAATATGACAACGTTGTAAGAAGTTATTTTGATGATGAATACATAGAAGCATGGAAAGATCTACATGAGCTGATACAGAGTGAAGTCAACAGAGCCAAGAAAGAACAATATAAATGGAAAGAATGACTGTGCACAAAACAGTCAAAAGTAAATGTAAGAAAATTATAAAGCTCAAACAGCACTCAAGTGAAGAGATATGAAAAGACACCCCACCCTACCCTTTCGTGGAGGTGAGAAGTCCACAGGTGTTACACGTTGCATCTTTGGACTTTGTCAATGTATCCATCATTTGTGCTCTCTTTTTTTCCTGTCCAAAAAATACTATTAGTCATATGGAATGGCTCCCTGGGAGGGGAAAGAAAAGGGTACCCAGTGATGCTTAGGTAATTTAAGAAACAGGAAATGTCAATAAAAACTTATATTTTAAAAAAAGGTAATGTTTTTCAAACATATCCCATCCTTTCTGTTTCTACTACCACCACCCTGTTTATGCCTTCATTTCCTCTCATCTGAACTCCTAAGATAGTCTACCATAGCTGGAGACATAATAGATAGAGTGCTGAATTTGGAATCAGAAAGACCTGAGTTCAGATCTAGCATCAGACACTTAGTAGCTCTGTGACCCTGACCAAATCATTTAACCTCTGAGTGCCTCAGTTTACTCAGCTGTAAAATAGGGATAATAATAGCTCCTACGTTACAGAGTTGTTTTGGGATCAAATAAAATAATACTTGTAAAGTGCTAAGCACAGTGCCAAGCACATAGTAGCTGCTACATAAATACCTATTCCCTTGCCCTTTACTTCCTGCCTGCAGTATCTTCTCCAATCTATCCTGCATGCATTTGCCAGATGAAGCTTCCTAAAGCTCACTTCTGATCATATTACTTCCTAGCTCCACATCCTTCGGTGGCTTCATGTTACCTAGAGTATAAAGTCTAAATTCCCTAGCCTGGCATTCTAGGTCTTCCACGATCTGACTTAGCTTTCCCATTCTGTCTTCCTCCCCCCACTCTCCTATTTGACACGCCATACCAATCTAGACTGTTCCTTCTGCCTAAGATGTCCTCCCTTACTTTTGTCCATTTCAAATCTTGAAAGAAATACCTTAAATGCCAGCTCTGTCAGGGGCCCTCCCTCAGTACCTCAATGATGTAATCCCTGTTTCTTCTGAACCCCTGTATCACTTTGCACCTCTTCCATAAGATTTACTGAGTTCTGCCATTTGTCATACTTACTTATGTGCATATCTTAGCTTCCCTACTAGATAAAGACTTATCTTTTATCTATCCATAGTGCTCAATAAATTTTATGTTGAACGTGGGAGTGAAATGATTGATGAGATTAAAGTTGCTACCATTCCAAGCGGAATTTGCATTTTAATAGTTAGGACCAGAATTTCTAAGCTAAGGGAATGAATTTCTAATTGTAGAATTTCAGTGAAAATTTCACAATAGTGAGTGACACTATTGGAGGAAGGAGTGGGGCAGTCTTCTTCATTGCCTCTGAAATTGTGCTACATAAATGACTATTTTCTCTTCTTAAACATAAAGCCAGGCCTGGATAATAATATAACTAAAACCAGAATTCTCTGCTCTGTAAGGCCACAATTTTGGCAGCATGCCTGTTGGCAAGGCTGAGTTAATGTTAACTCCACAGATATGGATGCTGCCTGCTGATTTACAAATTGGGGGTGGGGTTGCATGCTCTGATTTTTTTTTTTTTTTTTTTGGTCTATATTGTGTCTCAGTGTGTCAGATGACTTGTAGAACAGTCAGGTTTTTTTTTTCTTTAATAACATGAAGTTCTAATGCCTACAAGTGTTTAATACTTTTTGTTTTTAATCCTTCTTCACCCTTGATTTGACTTATTGCATACTGGGATTTACTTGTGAGCTTCAGAATGAAGGTCAGACTGGAACTATTTCCTTTGTTCGTTCACATATTTAGTAGAGTCTTCTATAATACCCCCTGATAAATTTTTCCATGCAAACTAGTGATGAAATCTGAAATTTGGCTCCAAGGGAGTGCTTCTCCCATAGTCATCTATTATCTTGAGGTATTAACTGAACATTGACTGACAAGTGATTCTCTTTAGAAAGTCATCCAAAAAGAAATAATTAGGACCTTCACACAGCATGAACATTTCACATTTTGGAAAATCGTGTAGCCATAGCTATGCAATAGCTATGACAAGGTTTTGGCATCTGTTCTCCCGCTACTACCTTTGTGTAGGAGACTTCATGGGGCTGGAGTGAGTGGCACACATCAAACTATACGTTCCCTCCCTTCTAAAGGACAAATGTTCTTTCTTTCCCTATATGAGTTAGACTAGGAGAGTGATGTGATCAGAGGCACTCTTTAAGAAGCTTTGTCTAATATTTGCATGCAGGATAGATTTGAGAGGAGAGGATACTTGAGACAGAGTTAGGGAGGCTATTTTGGGAGTTCAGGTGAGAGGTAAAGAGGTACTAAATGAGAGTGATGGCACTGGAGATAGAAAATAAGGGATGGCCACACATGACTGAGGTAATACCTCAGTGATACCAGATACTTTGTCTGCCTGGTGGAGGCAGCTCACAGATGGGTTGCTAAGTTAGAAGCGTAGGTGCTAGAATATAGAATGGTTCTTATTTCTAATGCATTGCCAGTATTTTCCTGATGTAAACATGACCTAGATTCCTGAGGATTTACTCTGTCTATAATAGAATTTTAGCTTTTGTAATGCAATGGTAAATTTATCAAAGGAGACACAAAAATATTGTAACTACTGAAAACAGTAAATGAGGTATAGTAGATCTTGTTTAAAGAAAATATAATTTATCACTGACCTCCTTAAGACTGCATTGAATTGGACATCTTTCACAGAACACTGGGTGTTGCTTCAGGAATCTCTGGGTTGATGGCCAGCTCTGGGCCTTCAGCTTCCAAGCCCGTGAAGTCCTAGCATGGGTACTTGTTTCAGTACTGGCACTCACACATTCTTGCATCATTTAAAATAAGTAACCATCAGTAACACACACACCTCACATGGCCTGAGACTTAACTGATTTTTTTTTTTTGTTTCCTCTTAATTTTTCCACTTTTAAAAATAAATTTTACTTGAAGTTACTGTTGTTTTAGATGAGGTTAGATGCTGTTTGGGAAGATATGTAATTATTCTGACTTTTTTTTCCTTGTAGCATTTCATCATGTTTCTGTTTACCCAAAGAAGGAGCTTCCTTTTTTCATTCACTTCACAGCAGGCCTGTGTTCTTCTACAGCAATGCTTGCCCTTCTCACCCATCAGTTTCCTGAAATCATGGGTGTTTTTGCTAAAGCTGTAAGTATGGTCTCAAGGACTTGCTTAGAATATTTGTGAGACACACAGGAAACTGTTTCTGATTTGTCTGTGCAAACCAGTTGAGAGGTGGAAAATGTGCATTTAGAGTAAATTATGAGTCATGTCTTGTACAGTTGCTGCCATGGAGCCTTCAAATTTGGGTCTTGGGTGATTTGACCTATGATTCTGTAACTTGAACAAAAAACTTTAAAGAGTGCAGTGCTGAACATTATAAAGTTGGTCTCAGTAGATCACTCCTCATAGTAATACAGAACTCATTACTAACTTAAGAACAATTCAGCTTTTCTTGGCTTGCTTACCATTATTGTATGTTTTGTTTGGCATTTAAAAAAAATTCCATATTTTATGAACAAGGCTTCTGGTTTTCCATTTAATCTAAATCATTAGCTCTAAGATCCACTGAACTTAGGTTAAATTTAGTAGTACAGCTAGGGTGGTACGAGCAAGGTGATTAGATCAGTTGCCCGGGATACAGAATGTGATTTGACCTGAAATTTGCCCCTGGCCACTGCATCTGATTTGCTGTACTGACCTTAGGAACTCAAGTACATATCACCACTTGGTTCTAGACCAAGCAGTGCTTGTGAGCTGTGAGTTCAAGGAACTCATACCTCAGGGTATGAATATCCTCACCAAGGACAAAGAGGTACAATTCTTGGACTTTGCCAAGTATAAAAATAACATGTTATGTCTTTGAATGACCTTATACATTAGCGTGTGCTAAGAGAAAACTCAAAAGAACAGTCCCTTTCCATCTCCAAGTCTTCCAATGCTATTTTCTTATGCATCTTTCCATCTTCACACTGGAGATATTAAAAGATGATAAGAATTGGAATATGCCAAGAAAAAGGATGTTTTCCTTTCAATTTAAGACATTACCTTCTAATGTTTAGGTTCAAATAAAGATATTGAGTTGTAAGTTAGTACTTCTATCTGCAGTGATGCTAGAAGCCAAAAGTTTTTGGTTTTGGTGGGGGGGGCGGTGTGGTAAGGAGGGTGGTGGTGGAGAGGGTCAAAAAATCCCTCATTCTGCATAAAGTTTCTATCTCTGTTTTTCCTCTAGCTATTTTTTTCTCATTCTTTTTCCTCTCCCCCTGCCCCCTGTGTTTTAAAACCTATTTAAGTGACAGCCTATTCTGTGCCTTAAAAGATCAGCTGGCTTTCCCTCTAGCATCAGTGGTCCCCCCTTTGCTGGTCCCCCTTTTTCCCTGAAGGTCAGCTTCACGATGTGCTAAGTTGCCACTGGCACATAGCCAGTTTGCACTTGATCCTTGGTCAAGCCTCAAGAAGAATGACTCTCCACTGTTGTTGAGGGAGAATAGGTATTTGGGTTGGAAACAAATTATTCGGTTTACTTTTGGTGTAACAAGGGAGCTTATTGATCACACTGTAACCCTGTCTCCTGCAGTGATACTGAGGAGGGAGAGAGAGTATTCTATAGAACTCTGAAACAAAACTTACTTGCATTATCTGTCATGGAGAGAAATGGACTTCAAAGAGAATCCTATCTGTTTTATAGTTTGAAGAAAGATTGCAGCTGTGCATATGGGATCATGGAGGAACTGTGAGAAAAAATGTTCCTAGGTGTATGGCAGGGTAGCAGAGTCAGGAAGGGAAGAAGAGAAATGTGGAATAGACTTGTAAACATTGGAATGACTGTATTCTCTTGAGAGTAGTGGCCAAGAGATGGGATAGAGTATACTGTTTCCATCATCTATCATTGATAGCAGGTAGTGCCTGCCATGATCTGAGAGATCACTGATGGCTAGAAGATCCCATAAGAACCACATGGAATTAAATATACTTCTGATAGTATTCCTCTATGAATTATTCCTTTATGAATAAATAGTAACAATAGGAAATGCAACCTCCTTTAATAGATTAAAATGTAATCAAACCAAGTAATCTATGCTGCAGAAATTTTTTTGCACTATTAAAGCCTCTAGTTTTTGTAGAATAGGCTTTTTACCATTAACTTTTGATTTAAAATATTTTTATATTTGTAACTTTGTTGGATTGATATGAAGATTTTTGTATGTAATTTTAAAAATGGTGTCCTGCCAAAATGAACTCTTACAGGTCATGTTTCATCTCAAAGATTTTTACATATGATCTTAAAATTCCTAAAGTCGTGAGAAGACAGAAAATAGTTTCAGACTAATACTGAGATGTTGTCGTTTAGAGGGAACTATCTAACTATTATAGATGGGGTGCTAACTAAGACACAAAGAGTTCTCAATTTATGAATTTACCCATACATACTGGAAAGTTGACCACTTTCTGTATCTGGCACTTCTCTACTCCTCCCATTTACCTACCCATTGATTTTGGTGGGGGCCAGTTGACTTTTGGTGGGGGAAGAAAGGGGTGTCAGAAATAGTAACTTAATGTTTCTTATACAAATGTAAAACTTGGTCTCTCATGCATATATGAAGAAAGGAAAGATCTATTGCATTTTCTCTTAGAAACTGCTAGTAATGGCGGGTTGATATTGTTGAAACATTGCAGGTATTTTACTGATTAAATAGTCTTTTGTGGGGTGGTCTGGAAACTTAACCACTATTTATAGCACTTTCCTATAAGAAAATCCGTTAAATTCCATACAACCCAATTATAAATGGACTCCTGGAACACAACCCATTCCTAATTTAGCAACTGCCTATTGTCAGGCATTCATTCAGTCATTAAGATATTTGTTAGAGGGGTCAACACACCAGAAAATGGGGACGATTCTCTGAAGCGTGCTCATTTAGTCAAGGGAAACCTTTCAGAAAGTTTTCTTAGTGAGTTTATTTCATAGTTAGCATTATCTCTCATTTCCCTCCTTTCACTTTAAGATTTATAAAATTGTTACAAAAATTTGTTTTTTCTAAACTATCTTTAAGAAATTTATATATCTTTCATACTTATGAGTCATAAAACCTTAGAGTTGGAAGAGATTTTGGAGGTCATCTAGTCTAACCTCTGTCCAAATCATAAAATTCCCATATAACATGGATTATCCAGATGATTAGCTTCTACTTAAAGACCTCCAATGACATGGAGTTCACTACCCCCAAAATGAACTAAAAGGATTGGTATTATGTGCTCATTTCAATGATATTGTGCTTTATAGAACTTGACTTCACTTTTACAAAACTGATTTTTTTCCTGGATGATCTGAAAACTTCATCTAGCATCAGATAAAGAAAGAGAAAGAAGACAAGAAGTGGAATGTGCTGATACCACACTTGATATTCTCCTTTGTTAAAATGTCTGAAAAAGGGAGGATTGCCTTAAACCAGTAGTTTGTTTTTTTACATGCTATGTTAAATATCAAAATTCAGAGTAAGGGTAGTAAACAGGCTAGTTGAACTGTAATGTGATTCTTGTTATCTGAGAAGAACTTTTCTTCAGGAATTCTGCATGCTCCTTAAAAAGCCAGCCCTACTCTCTTTGGTTTCATTTTTATTTTTTGTAAAACAGGCTTCCTTCCTTCTTATTCAGTAGCATTTGATTGGGCCTTCTCCTTAGCATTAGTACTCCAAAAAGAAGCCACTTATGGTGTCATGTGCTGCTTTTATCAGCCAAGTAATAATACAGTAATAGATCTAGGTTTCTTCCATGTGACAGATTGTTTATGAATATAAACATTCTATAGTTTGGGTTTAACAAAATAGGGAAGTCTATGAAGCTGTGGAAGAAGATGCTATAATGTTGTAACATAAAGTGGAGAATCAGAAAGATCCCTGACTCTCCAAATAAAATGCTGATAGTTATTTTCTCCAAAGCAGCACTTCACTAAATTTTTGTTCCACTTGCTTTGTATTATAGTTATGCTGATCAGGGAGCGGGCCCCGTTTCCACATAGTTCTTCTAATCTTTATGTGGGAAAATGTAGTTGGACATGCCAGTGATGAATTTCTGAGCAACTTATAATTGGCTAGCTCTAGTGTAACCAGGGCCTAACAATCTGCTTGATTAATTCTTTAAGGGCAGCATTAGCCAAGTTGTATGATTTCCAAAGAGATAGGTCAAATGTTACACTAACAAAGGACCTCTATGTAAAATTTTTCTCTTGGGCTCCTTCAACTCCTTCCCAAAAATAATTAACTTTTTTCTTCCAAAATTACATTTGGTTTTGAATAAAGATATGAGTGCCAAGTGTTGCCCTCCCTGAATGGTCACTAAACATTTAGGAAGGTCATTCTGGCCATAAAGTTTTCTCCAGAGTAAAATTAATTTTTGATTCTGGCATTACTCAAAAGATACCAGTGGAAGAAGAAATGTTAAATATAGTTATAAAGTATGCTTAATAAATGATTGTTATACCCAGCATTTAGTCTCACTTTATGTAGTGCCATTTTGACAGAGTGCAACTTTAAGAAGTTATCTGGATAATTCCTAAATAGGTAGAGAGTCTTTTAAAATAGTATCATCTTATTTCAGAAAGGCTGAATAGCTATGACTAATGTGTACCTCTTTTGCAAGTGTATAGTGTCACAATCAGTCCTCAAATTGACAACAGATGACTTTGTATGAAAATTGATTATTTTGGAAATGAATTTCTACATTGCATGCAAATTCTTATGGCAGAAATGATGTGTGTTTTTCTTCCCCCCCAATTTTCAACTTAGATTGTACTCCTGAAAGCATTGTTGTGTAACTGCCTGTTGAGGCTACACTGTACCAGAAGTGTTTCGATGAGACTCGAATGAATAAAATGAGCCTTCTGGAAGGCAAGTCTGAATTTTCATCTGTATGAGTTTTCCTTCCTTCCCTGATGCCTGTCTTCATTTATTTATTTTTTTGTACTGCTTTTTTTTTTTAAACTTTCTTATCATCAGCAAACTCTCAACACTCTTTTGATTCTCTTTGGCAGCTAGAGAATTGGAACAAAATATATTGGATTTTTCAGTGTTCATAGACAAGGGGGAAAAGATACTAAGTTCCTGTTCTCCATAGGGGTATGAGTATGGGTGTCTCCTCTGTATTACTCAAAAAAGATATTAGATTGAAGAATTCATGAAATTACTGCTGATTCTTCTTCCTCCCCCAGAATTCCTCAGGGACTAGGCTTTTCTCAGAAGAAGACAAGAAAATCAGTGCAATATGTATCGCCCAATGGACATAGAAACAAAGAGCAGAGTCCCATCCCCATAGGTCAGTTCATGGAAAGCACCCCCTGTTTCTGTTATATGTTATTCATTAAGTATTCGCCCATAAAAATTGGCATATTAAAATTATCTTTTCCCTGTCTAAGGGAATGTTCCAATTTTAGAACTTCCTGACTAACTGCCACTGACTAATAATATTTATTACTTAATGAGGGGCAGTGTAGTGTGGTGGATGGAGGATTGGACTTTAAGACCTGACTTCAGATCCTACCTCAGATATTTGCTTTCTCTGTGATCTTTTTCTTCCCAATCATCAACAGACTGTTAGCACTGTTTTTATCCTCTTTGGTAACTTGGGAAGATCACTTAACCTCTCTAGCCTCAGTTTCCTCAACTGTAAAATCCAAAGAATGGGGTGATGTGGGAAGAATAGAATCAGTGGCCTCTCAAGTCCCTTCATGATCTAAATCTATGATCCTACGAAGACCTGGGGTCAAATCCTACTTCAGACACAAGCTGTGGAGTACTGGGTAAGTCACTTAACCTTGCTGACCCTAAGTGGGGAAAATAATTGTGCTTCTGCCAGCTGTCATTGTTATTATGATTATTATTATTATTTATTACTGGCACTTAGGGCACATAGACTGCAGAGCAATTTTTAGATGCCTTTACTCAGCAGGTTTGGTCTAAATTGGTTATATCAGAATTCCTGTTAGGAAGCCTTCCTACTTCTTTGTTTTAGAAAAGCATCATTGTTTTTTTTTTACAGACCCAGGCCAGACCTGTGAGTCAGAAGTAGACAGTATAGGTATAGAAAGTAGTGGGATGATGGATTTAGATAAAGAGCAGGATTTGGGGAGGGGGGAGATTGAATATGGTTTTAAGGCTTCTCTTTGAAAGGAGTTTTACTTTCAAGATCAGATTTATAATGTTTAAAAAAAAAAACTAAGTCCATAAGGATAGTTGACATTGAAATACCAAGTAAGTAGCCATTTGGATTCAATTAGCGTCCTTTTTCCTGATGTACCTTCACAGAGAGTTTCTCAGATACTCACCACTATCTGGGGAGAGAAAGTTTGCTTATTTTACTTTTGGGAAGTTGGAACCCAGAAATGTGTAGTAATTTACTCAGAGGCACACAGCTTATGGTTCTTTTATTATTATTATTTTACTTTATTTTTTTGTTACATTTTAAGTTCAGAATGATCTGTCTCCCTCCCTTCCACTGCAGAAGGCCACTATTTGGCACAGATTTTTAAATATATGTAAAACCACACAATGCATACTTTTATTTATTAGTTATGATTCTTAGCCATGTTATTTAAATTGCGTTATCCCACTCAGTTGCACTGGTAAGAATCTATCTTAAAGCCCATGTCACAGTTTCTCAACCTTTTCCAATCCAGTGACCTTCATCTCCATCCCTTTAAACTACTCACAAGCATTGCTACTCTTGCCTAAGGCCTTATCATCGCATGGAATTGCTTCACCTCCAACATCTAAATTTAGAAATTCCCTTGCCCTGTGCCCTCATATTCTTCTGCCTCTTTACAACGTCACTCCTACTGAGCCTGTTCTTTATCTTCGTCTGCCAGTCCCTCATCCTGTCCTGGCTTCTCATTCCTCCCTGCCCAGCCTGATCAATTATTTCAGTTACATTCTTCTTAGTACCCTAGAATTCATAAAGTCCTAGGATTAGGGTGGGAAGGGACCTTAGTGGTCATCAATCCCAGTCTTACAGATGGGGATCCCACCAATCCTTACATTTCATAGATGTGGAAACCAGGGCCCTAGAGAGTTGGAGAGACTTGCCTAAGATCAAAAGAACTGAGAGTTGTATCCAGGTTCCATAACCATGTCACGTGTTCTTTCCGTTATATGCACTAGCACCCCAGGGGCATTTAGATGTATAAAAGGCTGAGGGCTGCAGTCAGGAAGACCTGAGTTCAAATGCTGCCTTAGACAGATGTTTGTTGACCTTCAGGTGCATAACCCTGGGCAAGTCACTTAACCCTGTTTGCCTCAGTTTCCTCATCTGTAAAATGAGCTGGAGAAGGAAGTGGCAAACCGCTCCAGTATCTTTGCCTGGAAAACCCCAAAAGGGGGCATGAAGAGTGAGACATGACTGAAACAACTCACTTACAACAACACAACACCCCCAGGGACCTTCCACAGCCGTCCCTTTTCCAGTATTTGATTGACTTTCTCTGCTGTCAGTACAGGATGCTGAATATTGCTGGAGAAAATAATGCAGTTTTCAGACCAAACAGTGTGTTTGTCTTTCCTGTACTTATTTGTTACAAAAGAGAGATCTATGGCCAGGGTGGGGGAAGGAGTAGTCACTAGGAAAAGACAAGGATTTAATAAAAGGGGAAAAGAACATCAATAAAACATTTTAAAAGACAAAATCATGTAACCTTGCTGACTTTTTCCTTTGCAAAATTTTACTGACTGACCTTAGCCAGACCCTCTGTTCTGATCCACAGCTCTTGTTTCATCTCAGTTTGTCTTTGTTGATTTCCTTTTGAATCCTTTTCTATTTTCCCTAAACTTATAATTCTGTCCATCTACCCCTCACTTAGCAGATTATTTTAAATTTGATTTTATTTAAAAGACAGTGAGTTCTCTTTCCTTCACTGCTTCAGATTTTGTCTTCACCCATCAGCTCTTCCTTTCCTGTCTCAGGAAGAAGTAATTCCCTTCTTTTGCCTGTGTTTTTAGTTCCATCTCTATGTGTTTTCTGGGACCTCATCCGATCAGTTATCCCCATTTCTTAGAAATGAAATCTTTCTCTCTACTTGATCCTTTTTCTCTATTTACTACAGATAATCTATAGGTCTCCCCTACCCTTAAGTTATTTTTTTTTAACTTCTATTTTTTTCCTCTACCCTTAAAAGTGAAACAAAGCAGCCATCTTTTGGACTGTTATTCCTCCAAGCCACTGCCTCATCTTTCTGTACCCTTCATTGCCAAAAGTCTGCAAGAAGTAAAATACATTTACAGCCTCCATATGGTCTCCACTTATACTCTTCTTTACTATTTTGTAATCTGACTTCTGTCATTATTCTATTGAAACTACTCTCTCAACAATCATCAGTAACATTCATTCAGCAAACATTAAGCAGTCAATAAACGCAAGGGTCTACTGTGTACCAGGCACTGTGCTAAGTGCTTAGGATACAAAAAGAGGCAAAATCAGCCCCTGTTCTCAAGGATCTTCTAATCTAATAGGCAAGGTGCTAGGGTTACAAAGTTATTTTTTTTTTAAAAAAAATTTGTAGTTCCTGCCCTCAAGGACTTTACATTCTATTGGTCATCCAAATCATCAAATCTATTGATCTTTTCTTAATTGTCCTCAATCCTTGACCTCTTTTCAGCACTTGACATTGTTAACTACTCCCTCACTGAAATGAGTTCCTGCTTTGCCTAGAAAGTATATATTACCGTACTTTCCTGGTTCTCCTATATTTCTAACCAGTCCTCTGGCTCCTTTTCTGGTTCCCTTTCCTCTTCCCATTCAGAAATGTATGTGTTTCTTAAAGTTCTGTTCTTTGCCATATGTCCAGAGATGCATGCTCCCCCTTGGCAATCTCCTCCACCTCTGCTTTCAGCTATTTCCTCGGGGCAGATATATGCTAGATTTGTATCTCTGAACCTGTATCCCTTCTCCTAAGGTCCAGACCCGGTCTTCTGCCTCCTCCACAAACCTGTTACTTCATTTGATTTTGACATTTCTCTTAATAGTATTACCAGTCTTGAAGCCTCTTATTTTTCCTTCTTCTTGAACCCTACACCCACTTTTTGAGTTGTTGGGTTTTTTTTAAATTTTGTGATGAATGTGAAAGAGCTCTATACTAGGAGTTAGAGAATGAAGTCCAAAGCGCAGTTCGACCACTAGCTTCCATTATGACATTAGACAAGTCATTTAACTTCTTGTGACAGTTTCCTCATTTGTAAAATTAGGGATTTGGATTAGATGACTTCTAAGCTCTCTTCCAGCTCTAATAATACATCTACCTTCCATGTGTTCCCTCCTTTCCATTCCCACTGTTACCACCCTTTTTCAGGACAATTGCAATCACTTCACTACTCCCTGATTTTCCAGGCCTTCACTCTTTTCTTGGTTTCACTCTCCTCCCTTCAAAATCTCAACTCTTTATTTAACCATTTCAACATTAAACTGTCCTTGAGTCCCTTGTACCCCTGTCCTATTGCCACTTTCCAGACCATAACCCTGGATTATTCCCATCATCTGCCTTCTCAGCTCCTGAACTTACCTAAACCCACACTGCTACATACTCATCCTTTATTCTTCTCTTCTTTATTCTTCACTTTTGCGCTCTCTCTAATGACTGCGCAAGACCTTCTCTTCTTAAGCTGTCCATGTCACTACCTCTCTATCAGCAGAGGGCTTCACCTCATGCTTCACTGAAAAAATTCACAGGATTGGAGATCCTGACTTGGAAGGGACCCCAGACATCATTTGTTTCTACCCCCCTTATTTTATATCTGAGGAAACTGAGGCCTACAGATGTTAAGAGACTTGTTGATCACATACAGTTGGCATCAGAGGTAGAATCAGAACCATGGCTCTTTCCACTATACACATTGTC